TAATACAGTATAAGTACTGTAGTATTATATAAGTTCATGATTTTGTGAACTAACCCATTTTGCTTTACTCATTTCATTAATTGATTCATTTTTAAAAATATTAGTAAAATATTTTACTATAATATATTACCGGCTGTTTTTTTTATTATCTACTATAAATTCATATTAGATTCGACGATCCGGCATATTTTCATTTCCAAATCCAAATGTTTATCTAACCTTATTTCCATTTGACAAATAAAAAGAAACATATTTGTAATATAATTATTTATTATATTTTATATATACTAACATTTTTTTACCGTTAACATAGCGACAAAGTGGCCATAGTAAATTAAAAAAGACAACTCTTTTAAGATAATTGTATAGGTAATAATTATTGCAACTATCATTTCAAAGGTTATTGAATGAAAAAATGCGAGTAAAAATAAATAAAAACCCTAAAAATATGACTCCACCATCGACTGTCTTAAAATCACGCGTCAAAAAAATCCTCTTTAGTAAGTCGAATGTAATTAATTTTTCAATTTGAAAAAAAATGCTAGCTTGTAATATTAAAAGGTACCATTCTAGTTTTGCATCAATGTTAAAATGAAAAGTGTTAATTGGCTTCATCGCCGTTGTAGTCCTAATAATAATTAACTTTGTACTTTCACTCGTTAACGTTTGTTCTCGTTAATTGTACATCTTTACCACTTGTACATCATCTTACTTTCATGAGTTTTAAAAAGAAATCAAAAAAATCTTGCTATTATTAATATTATCATTTTATATTGTTGTATTATTTTTCGCGACACTAAAGCCGGCAGGTTAGGTTTTCGCTTTACTCCGAGATCCGTTTTCTCGTTTGTTTTAAAACGTTATTATTGTAACTTCACCTCCTGTCTATCCCAAAGGACCGTTAACGACACAACATCTATCTCGCGAAAAGTTTAACGGTGCTTTAATAAAATATCATATCGTCACCGCCGTAAAAACGTACCGCAATAATAATATCAGTCATGACTATAAATCCGATTTAGAACGGGAAAGTGCGGATAGGATATTCGTATAATAATATGACAAAAAAAAAAAATTTAATTTATATCTGTAAAGTATTTAATGTGAGTATGTGCGGGATTCAAAAAAAAAAAAAATTATACGGCCCGTGTACGGGCACTGTTTGGGCAACGTTTGAAACGCGAGTCTTATGATAAAAATATATATAAAATGTTTATGGCAATGGACAAACGAAGTGAATTGGATTAACCATAGGGCGTGGGTAGGGTGGAGGGCAATGTGAAGGTCCAGGGATGGCGTTACGGTATCAGAGGGATAAAGTTATTTTTCATTTAGCCCCTTTTTACGGCTGGTAGAGACTTAACCGATATTTCGGCACATTAAAACACCCCCACTCTCTTTTAAGCCATATATATATATATATTATACCCAGCTCCGGTAGGTATACGCGGCTTCAAAAGAACCACATTACGATTGGACCGACCAAAATGATTAAATTTCCCATATAGATCAATATGTTAAAGTCTTCAACGTCGCTCGCTCACCTCGTTTAACTTTACCTATAGCCTTTAAGAGGGTTATTTATCACCGATTTCTATCAAGGTAAAGACATGCAGTTCTTCTTACTTTAAAGTGGCATTTGGCTTTAGTTATATTTTTGAATAGCTTCAAACCATCTTAATAATAACGTGTTAATAATTCTTAGAAAACATAATTATTTATCACCTCGCAATCGCTTCACGTTTTAACTATTTACAACTAGTTGAAAGTTTTCATCATAGCCCTAATTGTGTTAAACTCTTATAAGATTAGGGATTTGACCTTAATAATTCTTAAGACTTTCGAATTAAATAGTTTTGAAAACTTGAACTTAAATTGCTGTTAGTTTTACGTCGAAATCATGATCGCTATATAAAAGTATCGCTTTGGATTTGTAATTAAAAAGTTGAATTTCATAAGTCATCACATTGTAGAATTATTTTTTAATCACTTGGTTTAATTGTTAAAGTATATCATGTGTTCATCTCAAGTTTATGGGCTAAATTAATTCTAATTGTAAAATGCAGAAAGTTTCAACGTTTTATGGATTAGTATTTTTTTCTATACATATTAACTATTACTTTTGATAAAAACATCAGTTTAAATGTATATTTAAGTATCAGTATATTGTAAACTGTGTATTTTTAAATTTAAGTGTCAATAAAACTTAATCATTGCTAACAATAATAAATAATGGTCAATAACCTTTCATAAAAACAATTTTACATTATTTACTGTTGTATTATAAATCACTTGGTAACCCTTTTCGAAATAATATTTTTTAAACAATTTGCTTAACGATAATAGCATACATTTCTTTGTTGGAGATAGCAACAGTTAAACAGTATACTATATGTTTCGACATCTAAAACTTTCCAAGCTAAATAAATTAAATACAATTAAATATGTTTAGTGTTTGTAAAGTACTAATGTTGCATTAGGTTGTATAGTTATTTAACATAATAATTTTAGGTTTAAAATAGAAAACATAATTGTATCGGTTCGTTGATTGGTAATCTAAATTAAGCACAAACGATACCTGAAATATTTCCATCAATCAATTAAAAGGCAAATGTCTGGAATGATGATTGATTGCCGTGTTTGTACACCATAATCATACAGGATTTTACTTTTCTATAACACTAACAATCCGTTAATCATTCCATTCAATTTAAATAGACAAGTAGCATATATTTAATTTGTAATACTGTTTGAATAATTGCCGACAAATGTCATTCCATTGTCTTTACAATAAACGGTGATTATGGCAAGTGTTTAATTATGTTAAATGTGAAAATGGAAAATGGAAAATGCGAGGTGTTATACCATATCGAATGAAAAATCTATAGTCCAAACAAATCAGTAGAATACAAAATATTGTAAATTTATATCAAATAAAATATACAATGGACGTTTTAACAAAACCTATCGTTTTATTATTATACGTTTTAGCATAATTATAATGTCATTACACATTTAATAAAATAAAAAATACAACGAAACTGATACCAACACCAATAAATAATGATAAAATAAATGTATTTTTGTTTGTTCTTAACCACTCAATTCAAATTTTATACTTTAATGATTAGTCGGTAAGTCTTTTAGTGATCAAAAATTGAAAACATTTAGTAACTTTAATAATATGTATGATGGCAGAGTTTGGTTTTTAATTTCTATAACAATATTGGCAACATATATCATATCTATTAAATCAAAAGTTTTTATTTTTCTTTGCTAGTTTTTTTACTGTGTTTGTCTGTAATTTGTAGACTTATACTTATTGCTTGTTTATATTGCGTTGATTTTTGTGCTAGATTTTTTTTTGTATTTGTAACACCATAGCATTGTCTAAATTGAAACAAATTTTTGTTTGGCCATCTTTTGAAATGTTTCAATCAAATAATTACCTGAAATCTATTGATATATTTACTAATGTTCTAAAGGCGGTTCTTCGGGTATTAAATGTTAGGATTTTTGACTACCTATATATGTTCAATTTTCTGTTATAAAACATGGGAAAATTCTCTATAAAAATAAATTAAAACTGATACTGGTATCCTGTAAAAAATAAACAACATATATCTCGTCGAGTTACAGGTGAAATAAAGTAACGGGGCTTTGAATGAAAACATTAATTAACACTTATGTTAAAAGAAAGTATACATTGTAGCTAACATAGAGGCAATAGCACAAAAGGCTCATTTAGACAAAGCAAGTTGGGTAGTTTAAATAAAACTGTGTTCTTTCCAATTGCGCGCGACGGTTTGTAGATCCTATATAAATCTAAACAAAATAATAATATTTATAACATATATACAACATCAAATGTACAAAAAAAAACATAATAATCATAAAACAACATACAATGTATTAGATTAAATTAACTACTATTAAATCAAATATATTTTCATCTTCGGTCAGTTATTACAACATAATATAACATTGAAATTTCATAGCAATATAGAATATTAATACATGCGGTAAATTTAACGACTGAATATCTTAGAATTCGATACTTAATAAAAATGCTGTAGTGTTACTCTTTCTGTAGGTACCTACAGAAATTTGTATTGTAATATGATTAATCTAGAATAAAACATATTTTACAAAAATAAACCAATCAACCAAGAATAAATCAATAAGTCAATCAACCACTGGCAGTAATTTTATCAATTAAACTTGGATCAAAATGATCAAAAGTAATTACATTTTTTATTCAATATAACTTTACAGTTTTTAACCAAATGACAACATAAATAATTCATTATTTTAAAAGCGGTTTGTATTTTATTTTAATAATTTTATAAAAAAAAACTTTAAAGAAAATGTATACTAGTTAACTATGATCCAGCCAATATCATAAACGATATTAGACTTATTAAAATTATTTGTTTTTATACTTTTATAGTTAATAGTTGGCGTCCAATATTGTTATACTTTTTAAAAATATAATCCCGTCACATCTGTGTTAAAATCCATTTAAATACTATTTAAAAACCTCAAGTTCATATCAAATTTAGGCTAACTAACAAATAAATAAGTTTGAAGAAGAATAATTTTAAATAGTCTAATATCTTTTAAGAAATTAATTAATATTGATTATAGAAAAATCATATAATGTTCGACCTACCTAAGACAGTTTCTCTAAAAAATGCGTCCATCTCTCAGAAAAATAAATATTGCCACTGTACTTCATAATTTCCACTCCTATAAATAATTAGTAATCTAGTTAATTGATACCTTTTAGAATACTGTTATACTTATTTCTTACATATTAGTATCTATATAAACATGATTGTATACATACGGGTATTAACGTTCAAATTTTAAATATTGTCACTTCATAACAACAATAAACAACTGACAAACTATCATTGTATGTAAGAATATTACATTTGTTATGTAGTGTTCTTTAGTAACTTTAGTATTTTACTTATTTCACGACATTTTGTTGACAGGTGGAACAACTAGAAACTGTCATTGGAAGTGCTTTAAGCCCAAGCTGAAGAGTCCTTAACTCTGGTGTACCGGTTAGTACATAATTTTTGAAAATAATTTGACTTAAGTTTTATTTTATTTTAATTTATTTACGGTTGTACGTTAATAACTAAAAAAAAATATACGCAATAAATGAATTATATTTTTTTATGGATTTTCTAAGGTCTCTTAGTACGAATTTATAAAAATTGTAGAATATTTTTATGTTGATGACACAGTAGAATTATTTTTATAACACCTACCATTCTTTTAACGTCTGGGAAATAACAAGTGTTTTTTTAAGAGAAAATGGAAATAATAATAATATATTAATATTACATATTTTTAAAGAAAAACACAATTCACTACCGAATTTTTATTAAACAATCTTGTAGTTTTGTGTTAAGAAAATTTTGTATTTTAGTAATAACTGCTTTGAATTTACATAAAAATCACTCAGTTGCTCGCACAACGTAGGAATAATATTGCCTGTATAATGATAAGCTTAAAAAAACTTCCTTCTTACAGTTTTTATTTCTTTTCAAATGTATTCATTGAATCCTAACTGATATTATTTTGAGCAGATGGTGTTTTTTATTTTGGTAAGAAATCTCTTGATTCGATGAATATTTAAGGACTTTTTTTTGCGTTTCAACATTGTTTTATTTAAGAATTTAAAATCATGTGAAGTATACCTTTTTCAGGGAACAATCTGCGTAAAAAAGTGGCACAAATACTTTATAATGAAAAAAATATGTTCACCAATCCCTTGTAAAGGATAATTTGAACTTCTTGAAAATAATAATATGTTCTAAATTCCAGGGAAAATGTCTAGCTTGCAATTGTTTAAATTAAAATAGCTTTTAGATTATGGTTATTTTTTTCGAACTCCTAATAAGTTTTTCTTCATTTTGTTAAAATACGAGTATTATAATAATACATAGTCCGTTTAGCCTTATGTCAACAACCGCGATTCAACTGCATAATGTGCATGGTAAATTACACAGTACCTATATTATAATGTACTTTGCTAAAACTTGTAATCAGAGTAAATATACGAGCGTCTAAAAATGCGTTCAAACTTTAGTTGTATAGTGCCGGCGAGCGAGTGCAAACTCTGTGGATTACAAAACTCAGCGAGTGATTATACTTAGGTACTCAAAAAAGTTTCAGCCACATTATTTTGCGGCAAAAGGACATTATTTATTGTCGAGATGCTATATGTTTTTTACCGTCTGGGTCATTTGCGTGCGATACACGTATGCAATTAACTTTCTATGTTTCAACATGACAAATTACACGTTTAGTTTTCTACCGCCGTACCTAACTCTGCCCAGTAATAGTAAAATATTAAAAAAATAAAGACAATATTATTAGATTCAGCGCCATAATTTTGTTTTTGACTTTAGAAATTTGGAAAATATTTACAGTAAACAATAATAAATAAAATATTTAATCCTCTGGCCGTTGCTTAAGAGCAGTAAAAAATATTATTCGTATTTCATAATTTGCAATTCAAAACAAAAACTATGGATATCAAGTCGTGTTTGTGTTTTCAGTAAACGCAGATAATGAAAGTGTTAAATGCAATAAATATTCGTTATAAAATGGCACACTGGGCAATTTCACTTCTCGTAGTTTTAACACACATGTGACCAAAACTCTCCATTTTTTTAAACAAATATAATAGTATAAAAACCTAAAAATGTGTTTGTGAAAAACGGCCGTGATTTTCTCTAGAGTATTACAATATCATTTTCGTAGTTGATTTATCATGACTATTTATTTTTTTTATACAATTAAAGTATTTTGATAAAACAGTACCATATTGGATTTTTGCAATAATAAAAAAACCCTCGGATATTTTAATATAACATTAGGATATTGAATAACAAAAAAATGTTGGTTTATGTATATAAATAAGTTTAATCGTTGATACTGAAAGTAAAATATAATATTCTGTGTGTATTATTTGTTATTAAATAAATACAAACAAAAAAAGGTTATGTGACAGCTAAAGCAGAGATAACTTTTCAAAAATAATATTTGTTTATAATTATTATTAATCTAATAAAACTACAATACCAGTTCAAGAGTATTTGCACGCATATTACAATTATTCGATGTATTCACAAAATGATCCAGTAGAGTAGAGAGTTATGTTGGAAACAAAATAACCAATTAAATTAAATAATGGAGATTATGAATTTGCAAAACACGACCGGGTGCGGGTGTTCAGGGCTAGGTATATAATAAATTAGCGTACATTTTATTGTTCTAAAGTAACCGTTTTCTAATTTCTAACGTAGGTAGGTAACCCGCATCTGATAAAACGAGTAATCGAGCTAATGAAAATATCAATATTGATACACCACGCGTTAACTAAAACACATACATTGATAATATGGTTTCAATATTGTTTTGTTTACTAGCGGTCGACAATTTCGTCATAATTATCTTCCAAACGACTGGGAAAGTTTTACGAAGGACACCAAACGAATTATCGCGTTAATTTCAACGCGACTCTGAACTCGAGCACACGCAATTTGCATCGTATTGTATATTATAATATAATATTATCGGTGGCTCGCGTTGATGATGCCGTTAAATAAGCAAAACTGCCTACGTACGCGGTCGCAGATAGATGTGTACTCGAACTTAGCCACTCGATTGGTTTCGACCCCGCGATTATCATTCCACCAGGCCCATCCAGTCGGTTTCAATGCACCACATCAGGTCTCCTGTTATTCCCCGTTGTCATTAGATGTGCGCCCACGACCGTTTTCCATACACACCCCGTACACGTCCAGAGAAACCCCAACGATAAACGGTTTAATTTTAACTGAATTATCCCCCCGGCAAAGGTATTTGTCCCCGGAGTCGCACCGTCATCACTGATAACGCAATACTGACGGTGGTGCGGTGGCGGTTTTCCTATGACAAAACACGAGTGAATTTAATCCTCGGTAATGTGTGTAATGTCAATTATCCTTTTTCGGGGTTCCCTGTTTTTGTCCCACTCCTCCCTGCACATCCCGTGATGTATTCACTCAAGACACGACACGACCTTTCTTGTGACGTGACATGGCAACATGGCAATGCCATAGTAATTGAAACATTTGGGGAGAGCAGTGATGGAAACAATACAATAATTGTGTACCGTCATCATACCAATTACAACGAGGACAGTAAAAAAAGAAAAAAATGTTCATAATCATTATTCTGTGTAGCCGGTAACCTGTAGGTATTGACGATGGCTATTAATAATAATATTAAAAAAAAGAAGCGCACGTTGGTCATTCAATTAACAATACAATTTTACAAACGTCTTTGGGGTGTGTGAGTTTATTTTCAGAAGACAAATAACGAAAATCAATTATTAATGACCAAAAAAAACATCATGTTTGTAATATTTCCAGCGAATAATAAGTGGAAAATATTGAGTTATCACACATAATAAGTCTAACGCTATTTCAATCGAATTCAGTCGTTTACATAATTGACAAGTGTTAATGTAAAGCACTCATTATCAAAACTTATGTCAAACTTGGCTAATGAACGCTGTAGACAATGCATTGGTTCCTACCTAAAAAGTATACATTTTAAACAAAAAAAATAATGATAATACATTTTAAAAAAACATTTTAATAGTAAACTGAAATATTTCAAAACTAATATCACATCTTTTAAGATATCGGTAGAAATAAAAAAAAAATGTAAGACTTTTGATGGTTTATATGATGATACTTATTATAACATGTATTGGCAAATAACATAATAATTAATGTTAAGTTTTAGTGAATAATTGCCTATAAAATGTGTCTTAATAAATGCTAGTGAAGGGGCCCCTTAACGGATACTGTTTATTATCTTAAATTTAAATCTTAAGGTTAGCAATTTAATTTCCTCTTATACTTTTCCTGACTTATCAGGTTGTAGTTCTTATCGAGTGTATTAGTAACTACTTTGTAATGTTCATTATACAGTATTTTGTTTCTATAAGATAAAAAGGTTTTTTTCAATAACCTAGTTTACATTGTATTAATATATTTAAATTAGAACAATGAAATTATTACAGAACATTATATGACGTTATATGACTGTACTGCGTGACAAATAACAATGATAAAAAAACAAAATTAAATTACGTAATTATATATTATACATAACTCATATTATCCCTTGTTTATTATACCAAAATACACATTTTAGTTAATATAATCCATAGCAATAATTGTAAGTAGTATATTTTTCATCTCGGCTTTTATTGTATTAAACGTCACTGGTTTGGATAATTGAAATATAACCAACTTCTCTTCGTAGACGGCACTGGTTATTTGACGACGATCCATCGAATTAATTTATTTATTCCCATACGTGCATCCCTTGTGTTTACAGAGGAATTGCATATTAAACTAGCTAGTATGTTGGAATATTATATTTGCAAACGTAGTAGCAGAATAATATTATTTAGTTGTCATAAAGGCATACATAATGTTAATTAATTTATACAACTTCCAATAAACTAATTGTAATGTATACATAGCTATTTTTTTTTTTTATTAAATCCGTGTTTTAGCTTTTTGGTTACGTGTAATAACAACGAAATGACGAATTGAAGAGACAATAACAATAATAATTTAGAGTGAAAAGAATAAAATGGAAAAAAAATAAAAGATAAAATAATATTAACAATAATGATACAATGTCAATAGACTTATTAAGGAAGAATACGTCATAATTATTGGTAAAAATCGTTTTTTTTTTTGCTTACAAAAACCTTTCTAGGAAATCCCCAGAGAAAATCTATATGATAGGATTACAGTAGAAACAGAACAGTAAAACAAGACAGACAGCTAATAATACTAATCTGCGTTCTAATAACTGAAATAGATAATAATTAATTACATTGACAATATTAATATAGTGCGTCATGTGCATTTAATACTAAAAATTACTTTATAATAACTATTATATTACTACAGTTTAATGTCGTCACGTAACTAAATATACATATTATTCTAAACAAATATTAACCACGATTAATTATTAA